CGGCTGCCATAGCAACGGCGCTCGGCTCCGCCTCCGGAGGGGTTTGTTTGCACCATCTGCAGCTGTTGCTCCAGCCTGGAGCTGTGGCGCCGGCCCCGCTGGGGTTTGGCCCGCGCTACCCGGCCCGTGGGCCCGGCGCTCCGTGCAAGCTTAAGGCCTGCTCAATACTTCAGCTCCTTGTATGGAAGCTAGGCAGACATGTGTCACAAAGTTGTGACACTTCTAGTTTTTTTCCCGGAACCCCGTTCAAAGAATCGCCTCAGAAACTAGTTCTTTGCCTTTGTTTTATAGGCTGAAGGGGATGCTAAAGGAGATAAAGCCAAGGTGAAAGACGAAGTATGTATTATTTATTTTCTTTAGGGGGGGTTCATACAAAAGTCTTGGACAAAAAAAACCCACAGGACTCCTTTGGTGATAATCAACTACAATTCTTGTCTTGAATTTGTCTTCGTTCCCTGTAGTGTAGAACAAAATTGGCACAAAACTTGTATTTTTCTAACTTTATTCACTTTTATTTCAATAGCCACAGAGAAGATCTGCAAGGTTGTCTGCCGTAAGTATATATACTTCCAATTTTTAATATTTGTTTCTGAAACTAAAAAGCATTGCATCTGATGAATTATGATTAGTGGCTGGTTTTGAATGTTGTACTCTAGTTTGGACTATTGCACATATGGAGTTCACTGGTGGAACACATTCGTTTTGATATTCTGAAAGAAATCCAGCCACAAAAACTTTTTAGTAAGAGAAAACTTCCATCCCTTTGGTACTGATTTGGTTGTGGATTTTCTTTGGTTTGTTGTACTAATATTCTCTTCTTCCCCCTTGCCTGTCAAAATAAGAAACCTGCTCCTCCAAAGCCAGAGCCCAAGCCTAAAAAGGCCCCTGCAAAGGTAAGTAGAAAGAACTTAAGGGTAATGGTGCTAATATTGGAATCGATAATTTTCACAGAAAGAATTGTACTTCACTACTTTAACCTAATTCAGCATGATGGATGTTATAAATTGTTTTGTTTGCTTGCCTTATTCCTGATGTTGGTAGCATTGGTTTCTGTCATCAGTTCAAAAACTCTGCCCTTGAATGTTAAACACCCAAGTGTTTGACCTGGTTTTTCTATTAATTATACTTGGACATGAATTTTTGTGTGCTGAACTTCACAGCATGGCATGGTGGTGCACACCCATAGTCCCAGCTACTTGGGATGCTGAGGCAGGAAGGTTGTAATTGGAAACAAGCCTCAGCAACTAAGACCCTATCTCAAAATGAAATTTAAAGGTGGAGGCAGTGGAGATGTAGCTCATTAGTAATATTGGCCTAGCATGTGCTAGATCAAGAGTTCAATCCACAGGACCTCTAAAACTTTTTTCTAATTTAGTGTAGTTTTTGATCAGTCCTTGTAAATGGATGGTTGGGTAGGTATACTATGCTGAACTTCACAGACTATACCTTGATAATATGCCTGGGGAGAAACAGTTCTGTTTTTCTCCCTTTATAGAAGGGAGAGAAGGTACCCAAAGGGAAAAAGGGAAAAGCTGACACTGGCAAGGATGGGAATAACCCTGCAGAAAATGGAGATGCCAAAACAGACCAGGTATGATGCTTTTTTCCAATTGTTGCCCCTTT